ATATACTCTGGTATATGCAGTATAAAGAATTATGTCATAGGAATATGTCTTTTTTTCTAAAATTGAAGAAGTTCTGAGTTTCAAAACATATCTGGTCCAAGGTTGGGAAATGGATTATGTATGAATCTGTAAGTGCTATGCAGAGAATTCAAATATGCAATGGGATAGTGACTAGGTGGCTATAGTGTGACTAGGTCACTATAGTGTGAGTGGTCAGTGAGGACCCCTCTGGAAGGTAAGTCTTAAGTATAATTCTGAATGCCAATAATTATTTTTTAAAAGGTTGTCATGCAAAGATCGGGGGAAAGCATTCCAAGCAGGGGCAATGGCACAGTTAAATGTAAAGATGAACATACAGGACACCACTGTAACTGGAACATACTGGGCCAGTGAAGAGTGCTATCAATTGATGGGAGCACTTCACATAGGAAGATTGTGGGTCTGGTGTTAAATGGTTTGATGAATATGGTGTAGAGAAGATGGGTGTGGCAGTTGTCAACAATTAGGAGGGTGGAGGGGAAGTCTTCCTGGGCAAGAAAGTAGGTGGGGAGACACTTCAGAGGGAGAAAAGATAAAGCAATCATGAGGAAGAAAATGTAGGCTAAGATTTATGGCCTGAACACTGTGGTTTTGGGAAAAGTATAGAAGGAAGACAGATTAGATGTCTGGACTCAAGATTGTAATTGTGGCACTGGCTGCAGGATTTTGTAGGATGACCAAAAACATAACATACATAACACTTTCTGGTTGAGGTTCAATCCACTATGTGTCATCTGGGCTTTGGGACTTAAAATGCATTGAACACAGAGGAGAGTAGTAAAGGCTGAACTGATGAGAAATGTTTTTGCCTCTTCTGGTTTGTACTTCTCAGAATACCTGCCTCCTAGCATCTCTGTCTCTTACTGACTTAACACATCCTTATGTCTGGTCCTGTTCAGTATCTCTCTGCCTCAACATATTTCTCTCTTTGGTGCTTCTCTGTAATCTCAGAATTCTGTGCATGTGTTACAGGGGTTTTAACTAAGGGCCCTGTGCCTGCCTAGGCACTCATCACTTGAGCCACTCTGCCACCCTTCAGAATCTCCGTTTGTTGATTTCTTCATCTGTATGTTTTGGAACCTGGTTCTTGGGCTGGGGTTGTAGCTCAGTTGTAGAGTTTGTATAACGTGCACCAGAACTGTAAATCTGGTTCTTTGTCTCTGCCTTTGCCTGTTCTATAATTATCTTTCTCCAACTGTTCTCCTGTTTTGTTTTTGCCCTGGGGTTTTGAACTCAGGGCCTCAGACTTGCTAGGCAGGTGCTCAAACCGCTTGAACCACTCTGCAGCCCAACTGCCCTCCTGGAAAGTATGAACCTTTTATTACTCCTTTGGGTATCCCCAGTGCCCTGAAGAGTCCGGCATATAGGAATCTCAGATTCATTTATAACTGTGGAGAAGGGGGCTCAATTTCAATTTCCACCCTCCTTTCCCCCTGTGGAGCTGGCTACCTATCAAATGGTCAGCTAGAGAGCAGGGCAAAGGAGATGTCGTGATATTGCACAGCTATCGGGCTCTTTCTCCACAGAAACGTCTCTAGAAGCCTCTAACCAGGACTTTGCTTTCCTGCCAAGGTACAGGAGCGGCAGGCCACGCCCCCTAGGCCCTGCGCGAGGAATGTCTCCGCCCCCGCGCGAGGGAGGTCCCATCCCATAAGACCCAGCCCACCGGCTCCTCCTCCAGCAATGAGCGGGCGTCTGTGCAAACAGGGACTAAAATCCCTCCAGTGTGAGGCCGGTGCAAGATGGCTGCGGCGTGTCGGAGTGTAAAGGTAGCGCCGCTGTTTGCCTCTAACGCGTGCTCTGCTATGCGGGCTGGGACGGCGCAACTGGGAACTAGGAAGAAGAAATGGGTGCTGGGAGAAAGGGTCACGCTTATCTGCGGCCCGGTATTGCGGCTCAGTAGGTGATAGCCAGCATTCCGCTGCATATGTTTGTGGGATTACTGAATGGGTTGAGGATGAGACTTCTGAGGTCTCATTAGTGAGGAAGAGAACCACATCTGGGTCACCACCGCCCTTTCTCCGCAGAAGTCTGGAGAACAGGCAGATGAAAGGATTGGGGTGGTCTGGACAGTGTAGCAGCAGACCGTGTTCCTTTTCACAGGGCCTGGTCGCAATAATAACCGGAGGAGCCTCGGGCCTTGGCCTGGCTACTGCGGAGCGACTGGTGGGGCAGGGGGCCACTGCTGTGCTTCTGGACCTACCCAGCTCGGATGGCGAGGCCCAGGCCAAGAAGTTAGGAAAGAACTGCGCATTCGCCCCAGCCGACGTAAGTATGGCAACCTCTTCTCCCCCAGGGCGTGCATGAGGTTACCCCCAGGTACCTGAAAACCCGTGGGGGTCCTTCCCCAAGGTGTTGTTTACCTGGGTGAACCCACTCTTGTCACTTTTGGCCTGAGCCTTCGAGCAATTGTGGAAGTACCCTCTATTGAGGACTCCCTAAAGTGGCATTCACCACAGTGGGGATGAGGATTGGATATATCGAATCTCCTGGAGAAGGTATGTATAGTTTAAAAATACATATTGTGCCCTGTAATTTTACATTTATAGATTTGAAAAACTTTTCTTAAGTCCTCTTAGCTAGTTTATGTTCCTATCAAAAATTCCCAAATTGGAGTTGTACTCATGCTCTGATCCACAGCAATTGAGAACTACCAGGGGTATGTGAATATATCAAAAGAGGGTATAGATTTGAAAAATATTTCACAACACTTCTCTGTAGTACCTAGCATTTTCACCTTCACCCCACTCCTCTTGTCTTAACACAACTTTTTCTCTTGGCCCCTCTTTTGCTCATATAGTTCTGACCCCACCCAGGGATTGGGCTTGCCCTCCCCTGCTCTAGGTTTAGTGGTGAAAATGTGTCCTGGGCAATGAATATCTTTTCCATTTCTCCCTTTGAAGGTGACCTCTGAGAAGGATGTGCAAGCAGCCCTGACTCTAGCAAAAGAAAAGTTTGGCCGTGTGGATGTGGCTGTCAACTGTGCAGGTATTGCAGTGGCCATTAAGACATACAACTTAAAGAAGAACCAGGTCCATACTTTGGAGGACTTCCAGCGAGTGCTCAATGTAAGGCATTTGAGGTTCTCTAGTGTTAGGAATGAGGTTTCTGGCTGTGGGTACTCCCAAAGCTGTTAGGGAGCAAAAGGCTGCCTCTGCCTCAGGTTCTATATCATGTCTCCTACAGGTGAATCTCATGGGCACCTTCAATGTGATCCGTCTGGTTGCTGGTGAGATGGGTCAGAATGAACTAGACCAGGGAGGCCAACGTGGAGTAATCATTAACACTGCCAGTGTGGCTGCCTTTGAGGGCCAGGTGTGTAGGCAGGGGGCAGGGCTTGTATCTCAGAGAATTGTTGGGGCCCTCCCATCCATGACCTCCATTCCTTCTCCAGGTTGGACAAGCTGCATACTCTGCATCCAAGGGGGGCATAGTGGGTATGACACTGCCCATTGCTCGGGATCTGGCTCCCCTAGGCATCCGGGTGATGACCATTGCTCCAGGTAGACATATCTCCTCCCTCTGCCACATCTGGAATTGGGCGGGATCTCTAGGCAGTTTAAAGGGGAAAGTATCCACCACCTAAGCTGTCCATCTCTGGGTCCAGGGAAATACCAAGAAGCAGGGCTAAATAAATATGAAAACAAGGGTGGGTCTTTGACTCTTTGGCTATCTTGTCTAGGTCTGTTTGGCACCCCACTGCTGACAACCCTTCCAGAGAAGGTGCGCAACTTCTTGGCCAGCCAGGTGCCCTTCCCCAGCCGACTGGGTGACCCTGATGAGTATGCTCACCTGGTACAGACCATTATCGAGAACCCATTCCTCAATGGAGAGGTCATCCGGCTGGATGGGGCCATTCGCATGCAGCCTTGAAGGGAGAAGGCAGGGAAAACTTACAGGCACCTATGCCTCACCTTCGCCTGGGGTACTACTCTGCAGCTTGGAGGAAGCCTGATAGCCATTTTGTAACTCTGCCCACCAGTCACCCTCTGTGCCTAATAAAGTCTCTCTTTCTCACATGATGTGAGCACTGGTGCGTGCTGGAGTAATTGACATGGGGAAGAACGGTGAAGTCTCTAACAGGGTTGGATGTTCAGAGCCCCAGGGTGGAGTGGGAAAGGCAGTACAACACATGGCTTTGATTTTAGGGCATAACTTTATTACCTAAGGTTGAAGGTAGGGGAATTGGCTTAGCTTGCTCCCACTGGGGAATGGATTAGAAGTGGGAATATGTAGCATTTTTCTCTTTGATTTTCTAGTCATCTGTGAGTTTCATAGGAGAGGAAGGAGTGATGACCATCTTGAATTTAGCGGCTGCTGTTATTGAACTGTAGGTGATATTGGGCTGTAGGTTGATTGGTGTAGATTATGGAATTCAGATAGTTCTGCCTGTAAAAGAGGTTCAGATGCCTCAGCTGATGTGTTTTCCCTCTGTCCCAGGTCCTTGTTGTCCCAATCTACCCTCCCCTAGCATTCATCCCCAATGCAAACCCCCTAGAACTCACTGTGCTCTTTGCTCCTTAGCCAGATCCTGGTTGAAGGAACCCAGCCCCCTTCGAAATTCGGCACACAATTCCCTCTCCTGCTCTTCTAGCTCAAGCGCTGCCTGGGCCAAGCACATGGTTTGATTTTCCCATTCATTATTCAGTGCTTGTTCTGCCCGGTTCTGAGCTGCCTTCTCATGGCACTGCGCCCCCTGGGCTTTCCTGATGGCAGCCCGCTGCTCTGGAGTCATGCCCTTCCAGCAGTAGGACAGGACCCGGTGGGGAGCCCTGGGGTGTTGAGCAGCCTTGGGGTTCTCAGTCAGTAGATCACTGGTGACCTGTTTCTGGATCTCCTTGAGGTTGGCCTCCTGTTGGCGTTGATGTTCACGGCGCTGCCGCATGGCCAGCTCAGCAGCCTGGTGGGGCCCCAAATGTAAGTATTTGGGTGCTCAACCTCAGGGTACCCTCAGTCAGGGGAGTGGGAGAAACATAGCCCTACCCCACCACCTTAGAAGGGAGGAACACTGTGGCCTTTTAATGACCCTAAGGGTGTGGAGCGGGGATTGGGGTGGGTGGGGGTGGTGGGGAGTTGGGGGTGGGGTGGGGGTGGTTTAGAATGGGCAGGGAACTTCTCCACATTCAGGAATGCCTTAGACTGAGAAGCTAGGGATGAAAGGGCAATGTTCTGTTCTCAAGTCTTCCTGCACCTAGAGGTAGGGAGAGGCCACTTGTGTCCTAAGAAGGATTGTAGGTGAAGAGTCCTCAATGGTGCTGATTTTTGAAGGTGTATGAAGGGAAAGATGTAGCTAAGGTTCCCCAGGACTTTGTTTAGGAAGTTGGATGGTTCAGATCATACCTGGGCTTTGTTGGCATTGGCCATGGCAGTCATCATGGCCACACGACAAGACTCCTCCAGCCTGGCTGTGTGGGCAGCCTGCATGTCCATGGCTAGGCGCAGCTGGTTACTGAGCTTATCTATACAGAGAAATATGGCTGAGGCACTGTACTGGCCTGCTCCATTCCTAGTTCATTCATGTAGCCATTTATCCAACAAGTTTTATGTATGTGTATATATGTTTGGGAGGGGGCTTGTGATAGCTAAAGTGCAGCAAATTGAGTCGCAATGCAGCTCTGTGACCTCTGAGCTGTGTGGCCTTGAGTAAATCATTTCATCTCTTTGAGCCTCAGTCTGAGGACCATGTGTTGGGTCTTGAGGATACCATGGAATCATCAAGCCATCAGAGAACCCTCTCTCTAGTGGAGGACACATATCAGACAGATAATAAGACCACAATTTGGTAAGGACAATGGCAGAGGTGTATACAAGACATGAAGACTGGGGGCCTAGGTTTATAACTCAGTGGCAGAGCCATGTGCAAGGCCCTGGGTTCAATCCACAGCACCAAAATGAAAAAAAAACCATGATAAGTTTGGGTGATAGGTGAGAAGGCGGCTTCCAGGAGGAAGTGATCTTTAAAGTGTATTTTGTATACAGGCAAAAAGAGCAAACAGCATCTTGCACTAGCAAATGTACGAACATTTTCCACTCTAGCCACACACTGATGATGCCATTCTTAGGACCTGTCAAACACTGTGGTGATTTGAAAGGTGAACAGTGTAAATAGATGAGACATATTCCTTGGAAGAGACATATTCTCTTCCTCTAATGGAAGAGAAGGATATGGCCACAGACAATATCATAATAGTAGCTACGGTAGGTGACATGGATTACTATTCCCATTTTATAGATGAAGAAATAGAGCTGGGTGTGATGGTACATGCCTATAATTCCAGCACTTAGGAGGCTGAAGCAAGAGGCTCACAAATTCGAGGCCAGACTGGGCTAACTAGCAATTCTCACCCTACCTCACACACCCAAAAAAAGATGAAACTGAATCACAGAAAGAACATTCATTTGCCCAAATCAGCTAGTAAGTGGCAGAGCTGTTAAATGTGTGTATACACTATGCTGCCCCCAAGTAATAGAGTGCCAGACTAATCATGAACAATGGCTACACTGTCAGTTACTGAAGGAAGTCAAGGAGGTTGAACCCACACAGCCTAACCTTTCAGCATTAGCCTTATGGGTAACCACCTCCCCACAAACTTCTGGTCAGGAGAGCTCCCCTGGCTGCTTACCTATACGTGCCGCCTCAGCCCTGGCTTCCTCTTGCTTCTGCAGCTGCTTATCCAGGCTGCACCGGAACTGTTCCTGCTGTGCTCTCAGGCATGAGGACCTGTTCAGATCCTCACCAAGGTGTTGTAGGATGTCTGGGCCAGGGAAGGAATTAGTACCACCGAGACAGGCTGGAAACAACTGAAGTCCGTCTGGATCCCAAAAGTTAAATTCATGCCTGTTGTTGAGTGGTAGCTGCTGTTTCTGCTTTTGAAAATCCTGTGTTTTTTTGGTCATCCGACATGTCTTTTCAGCCTCTTCCTTTTCCAGCATCTGGGCTACAAGGTCATACTGCACCTGCTTGATACCTGGAGGTTATAGACAGGGACATGGAAAAAGCACTACAGAGCCCTGTCAGCATGGCCTGTGTTTCCAAGAGCCATCACATTTGTCTTGCCATCCCAGGGCCTCAGGCCCCACTTACAGGCAGAACTGCCCTACTTCAGCCCACTCAGGCTCTTGCTTTAACCCCCTTGCCTGACCCTGGCCTTGGGCATTTACCATAAGCTGCCTCCTCACTCCGCTCTTTTGCCTTCCGAAGCTTTTGTTCCTTTACCTGGCTGTTCAGGGCTTGAACATCCACCTAGACACCAAAGAAAGGAGCTAAATCAGGGTAGAGACTTACCAGGGGCCTTAAGTGATCTAACAGGAACTGCTTAGAACTTACCACTTTAAAATCCTCCAATAGCTCCCCAGAACCTACTGCATAAAGTTCCAACCCCTGAACATGGCTTGTAATCATCTCTATGAGCTAACTTCCGCCTCTTCCACCTTCATCTCTTTGCACCCTCTTTGCCTGTGCCCCTACTCATACTAGCTGTAGGAGCTGTGCTTCCAGTTCCTAGCACATTAGGTTGTTTCAAACTCATAGCCTTTGCTCAAGCTGTGCCCTACCCTTGAAACACTTTCCTCCCCTCTTTACCCAAACACCAATTCACCCTTCAAGACCAGCTTTGGCTTCTCCTTCTGTCCCTCAGGCAGGTTCTACTCCCATAATCTAGGACACACTGTCCACATTATATTGTAGTTTGTCTCTATTATTTCTTCCACCAGGCTGTGAGCTGTTTCAGGGCGGAGGCTGGGTTTTGGTTACTTTTGTGTCCTCACAGCTTAACAGTGCTTGGCACAGGGCAGGCTCTAAGGAAATGTGTGCCACCTGGATCTAAGACCACTCAGACCACAGCCAAACCAATTACTTACTTGCTTTGGTTTTCTGAGCTGCGTTTTCAATGCTTCCTTTATTTAGCCTCGTTTTACAGAGGGGGAGTCTGAAGCTCAAAAAAGACAGGTGACTTATTCAAAGTCACACATCTAACAAATAGCAGACCTGACCTTGAACAGAAGATGGTGTCTTTTCCAGATTACTATACCTTATCACCTTTGCTATCTACCCACCCAGCAATCCTTTTTTGTTTTTCAAACTACCAATATTTTCTCTTTATTTTGATTATAATTCATTTAAAACATCTCAGAGTAGTACAAAAAGGAATACAAGTTTAGTGAAGAGTAAGTGTCCCTTCAGTCTCTATTTCTCAGTCTAAAGAAATAACTTAGGCATATGCAATACCAAATATCCTTTATGCTTTTTTTGTTCTTGGTTCTATGTTGCCTGTCTCAAGAACTAGACTAAATGGCCCACGACTGACCAGAAAAGAGCCAGCTGTTACACTCCATCTCTTCCCCTGAATTACCCCATCTCTGTTCCCATGATCTTCCCAGGCATGTGGGTAGGTTCCTTCCTGCTTCCTTTCCAGTACTAGGGCCTGCTTGAATCAGGGGAAGGGCTATAATGGGTACAACTACATTCCTTTCTAGTTGTAAGAGTGAGATGGCCCCAGTTTTGTGAAATAGCCCCCACTATCCACTCACCCCCTTGACTCGGTTCCGCACATTGAAGAATCGGCTTTGTCGCTCTTTTTCTCTGTTTCTTCTAGCCTCAATGGCTGCCACCTCCTTAGGATCTGCTGACAGGTCTACCTTATACATCTAGAGCAAGGAAGAGGTGGAATGGCCCATCAGTGTTGACCTTGACCTACACTTCACTTCCATTCCTTTCTCCCTACAATATCTCACCAATTATGATTCCCACTGATATTACTTCCGGATAGATTTCATCTCTGCTGTCACCACCCTAATTCAGGCTTCACAGTATAATATCAGGCAATATTCTCAGGTTCCTCACTGGTCTCCGGCGCTCCAATGTTATCCTCTGCCCTGGCTACCACAGTGATCTGAAAGCAAATCTGACCATGGCACTCCTCAGCTTAAAACTTTTGAAAGCAGTTTTAAAGCAAATGACTCCCCAGTGCTTACAAAATAAGGTTCAGCCCCTTTGCCAGATTTATAAAGTTCTTTATGGTCTGACCCCTGCCCACCTTTCTAAGCCTCAAAGGTATTGATAACATTTGCTCTTTTTCATTATGCTCCACTCACTTCCCCTCAGTTCAGTAAGTGACATCACCAAAGTTACTCAGGAGGCATCCTTTCCCTTAATCCCTCTTCTTTCAAAATAGCCCTGGTCAAAGCCAGGGCTATCCTTGCCTTCCTGAATGACTGCAGTAGTCTCCACATTGGTCTTCCAGCTTTCTCTGTTCTTTCCTATAGCCCTCTCATCACACAGCAACCAGAAAGGTTTTCTGAAATAAATTTCCCCTTTTATTACTTACTTTCTAATTAGAAAAAGGCTAGATGACTTAAATTTTCCTTTGTTCTTTTATATCTTGGGAAGCCCACTTTTGGCATGCAAGCCAGCCAAAGCCACAGACAAAAAAAAAAAAAAGAAGATTTTTTTTTTTTGAGGTACTAGGACTTTGTGCCTACACCTTGAGCCACTCCACCAGCCCTTTTGTGTGATGTGTTTTTTCGAGATAGGGTCCTGGAAACTATTTGCCTGGGATGGCTTTGAACTGCAATCCTCCTGATCTCTGCCTCCTGAGTAGCTAGGAAAACAGGCGTGAGCCACTGGTGCCCAGCAAAAAAAGAGTTTTGTAAACATAAATCTGATCATGTCTTTCACCTGCTTAAAATTTCTCTACTGGCTTCCCACTGCATTGAGAATCTAATCCAAATGCCTTACTGTTGGCTTTTAAGATCTGGTCCCTGCACAACTGTCTCCCTTGCTTACAGTGTTCAGGCACAGTGGCCTCCTTTCAAGTACTCCACATCTATTCTCACCATAGGGCCTTTGTATGTGGTGCTTCTTTGTTTGGAACATCATTCCTGAAATTCCTCTTACAGCTTTTTCCATCCTTTTTTTAAAAAAATTATTCTGTAATTGACATAGTTGATACAGGAAAAAATATATAACCCATATGTAAATTTGGAAACATTATATAGAGGCCCATGAACCAGTTCCCCAACTTAACATTATCAGTATCAGTGAAGTGTTCTGTGTCTCTTCTCCCTCATCCTTACTCCCAGAACACTATGCAAAAGCTGTTACTGTTCCTTCCCTAATATTTGTTAATATATACTGTGTATGTGTATGAATCCCTGAATAACATTTTAAAATTTTCTATTTGAGTAAGGTTCTCACTATGTAGCTCAGGCTGGCCTCAAACTCACAATCCTCCTCACTTAGCCTCCTAAGAGCTGGGATTACAGACATGTCATCACACCTAGCAAGTTTTCTTGGTTTTTGGTAAATTTTTTTTTCTTTTTGACAATACTAGGGTTTGAATTCAGGGGTTCATCCTTGCTAGGCAGGTGCTCTATTGCTTGAGCCATGCTTCCAGCCTATTGTTTTTGAACTTTCCTTGTTAGAATAGTGGTAAGGCGAAAAAAAAACACACCAAGTTGTATGTTTTCTTCGGTGTCTTGCTTTTTTTCACTCAGTGTTTAATCTACTGTTCAACAAATATTTGTAGAGTGCCTACTAGTGACCAGATACTTCTTTAAATATTTGGAAGACATCAAAGAATAAAACTGACAAAAATCTGAGTTATTGTGGAGGTTACTTTCTGGTGGGGGAAGACAGGCAGTAAAGAGGAAAGCATAAAATGTACACTGAATAGTTCATAAGAAGATGTAAGTAATATGGAAAAATACAGAGCAGGATAAGGGGAATTAATTAGAAGTGCAAAGGAAATAGGGGAAGTGTTGCAATTTTAAATACGGAGGTGTAACTGAAAAAGTAATATTTGAGTAAATACTTGAAAAGGGTGAGGGAATTGCCCATGCAGCAATCTACATTGTGAGATTGAGAGTGCATTCCACACAGAGGGAACAGCAAGCACAAAGGCTTTGAGGTGGAAGCAAGCATGAGAGGTACACGTTCAAGGTAACAGCAAGGAGGTAAGTGTGGCTAGACTGAGTGGTTGAAGGAGAGGCAATTAGGAATTGACAGACAATGGGATGGGGGGAAGGTTATGTAGGATTTTGTGGGCCATTGTAAAGTCTGTGGCTTTAATTCTTAGAGAAATGGGCTGCCATTGGAGGGTTTTGAGCAGTAGAGTGATGTGTTCTGACTTCGATTTTTTTTTTTGTCTGTATTGGGGTTTGAACTTAGGGCCTCATGCTTGCTAGGCAAGTACTCTACCACTTAAGCCACTTCACCAGCCCAATGACTTTGATTTTTAAAGGATTGCTCTGGGTCCTGTGTTAAAGAAGACTGGGGAGCTGGGCTCTGGTGGCTTATGCCTGTAATCCTAGCTACTCAAGAGGCAGAGATCAGAAGGATCGAGGTTTGAAGGCAGCCTGGGCAAAATAGTTCACAAGACCCTATATCAAAAAGAAAACATCACAGAAAAGGGCTGGTGGGGTGGCTCAAGGTGTTGGCCCTGAGTTCAAACCCCAGTAAAACAAAACAAAACAAAACAAAAAAAACAAGACTAACAGGCTGGGGACTTGGGGGCATGGCTCAAGTGGTAGAGTTTTTACCTAGCAAGCATAGCAAGCACAACGCCCTGAATTCAAATCCCAATACTGCAAAAACAACAAAAAAACAGAACAGACTGGGGAAAGGAGAGGTAAAGGCTAGATCAGTTGAGTTTTTTGTGATTATACAGGCAAGATATGATGGTGACTTACAGCAGAGGTGGCAAGAAGTGGTCAGATTCGGGATATATTTTGGACTGCTTGATGGATTAGATGTGCAGTGAGAGAGAGAAATCAATGACTATGAGGCTGGGCACCTGTGGCTCACACCTATAATCCTAGCTACTTGGAAGGCTGAGATTGGGAGGATCAAAGTTCAAGGCCAGCCTGGGCAAACAGTTTGAGAAAACTATTGTGGCTCAAGCAGTAGAGCACCTGCTTTGTAATCACAAGGCCCTGAGTTCAAACCCTAGTCCCACAAAAAAAAAAAAAAAAAAGAACTACAAGAATTTGGGTCTGAGCAATCAGACAGATGGAGTTGCCATCAACTGAATAATGTTTGTGGACTGAATAAGTAGTGGGTGGGAAGATCAGAGGACTAATTTTGGACCTGATGAGTTTGAGAGGTTAGATATCCATTGAGAGCATACAGATAGTGTGGTAAATTTTATTCAAAAATATTTGCTGCTTTTCCCTATGGAAGATTTATATATTCGTGTTATTCCCCTTGAGGTTAGCTACGTGATGTGCTTTTCCCTCTGTAATGTAAGGAGGATTGACATGTGCCACTCCCAAGCAAAACTATGAGTTATTGCTGGACGCCAGTGGCTCCTACCTGTAATCCTAGTTACTCAGGCAGCAGAGATCAGGAGGATCTTGGTTCAAAGTCAGCCCAGGCAAATAGTTCTTGAGACTCTATCTTGAGAAAAAAAACCCTTCACAAAAAAGGGCTGGTGGAGTGGCTCAAGGTGTAGGCCCTGAGTTCAAATGCCAGTACTGCAAAAAAAAAAAAAAGTGTTATTAAGTGATCACAACTCTCTTCATCTTTTGCTATGAATGAAACTGGCAATGTCTCAGGTCAGGGCTGCTTATTCAGTCTGGGTTCTAGAATGATGACATAGAGCAGAAATACAGCCAGCCCACAGTTGACAAGAAGCATAAGTGAGATACAAACTTTTGTTTTTATGAGCTGCTGGGATTTTGGGAATTTTTTGTTTTGTTTTTGTTGTGGCGGTACTGCAGTTTGAACTCAGGGCCTTATGCTTGTTAGGCAGGCACTCTACCACTTGAGCTACTCCTCCAGCCCTTGATTTTGGGGATTTTTGTAATCTCAGTATAATCAAGCCTATCCTGGCTGATACAAAGAAAAAAATATTTTTTTTGGTGGTGCTGGGGATTGAATCTATGGCTTCACACATGTTAGGCAAGTGCTCTACTATACAAAGAAATTTAAGTTATGAGACCATACTAGATCTCTAAGGGAGGTAAGTGTAAATGACTAAGAATGGCCCAGGGGAGACAAGGGGAAGAGGAGTGGCTAGTGGGATGGGAGAAAAACCAGGAGAGTATGATATCTAAGAAGCCAAGTAAAGAAAGTGATTTTGGAGAAGAGAGATCAAGTAAAATGAGACTAAGAACTGACTGATTTAGTAACATGAGGGTTGCCAATGACTTTGGCATGAGAATCTTTGCTTATCTGGCATGTCCAAGGTTCTGGGTTCAATTCCCACCACCTCAAAACAAAAAAAGCAAAACAAACGAGCATCTTTGGTGGAGTTGTGGTGACAAAAGCCTGACTGAAGTATGTTAAAGAGACTAGGACTCAGTTAATTTTTAATTGCAAAAAGAAAAAGATGGAGGAACCTTCAGATTAATAGAGATTTATATATACATAAAGGAAAGTTTCTCTAGTGTATACCTAGGAGTACGCTGGATCATAGGATACATGCATATTGACGAGTGTATAAAAATTCCTGTCACCCTAATCTTTTTTTTTTGAGGGTCTGGAGTTTGAACTCAGGGCTTTGCACTTTCAAAGCAGGAGCTCTTCTGCTTGAGTCACACCTCCAGTTCATTTTTCTCTGGTTATTTGAAGATGGGGGTCTCTCAAATTATTTGCCTGGGCTGGCCTCGAACCATGATTTTCCTGATCTCCGTCTCCCAAGTACCTAGGATTACAGGTGTGAGCCACTGGTGCCTGGCCTAAAGTTAGTAGTTTTTGATTAAAAATCCCTCCTCATCCTAAGATTATATTCTTTTTAAACTTCTGAAGTTTTGCCTTTTCCATTTGTTTTTAACCCATTTGGAATTGCATTTTGTATATGTTGTAAGATAAGGTCCCAAGTTAATTTTTCTCCCAGGCTCATTATCTTTTTTTTTTTTTTTGTGGTACTGGGGCTTGAACTCAGGGCCTACACCTTGAGCCACTCCAGCAGCCCTTTTTTATGTTAGGTATTTTCCAGATAGGGTCTCTCGGAATTAATTGCCTGGGGCTGGCTTCGAACTGTGATCCTCCTGATCGCTGTCTCCTGAGTATCTAGGATTACAGGCATGAGCCACCAGCTCCTGGCTCTAAGATCATTATCTTTTAAAATAAAACAATAGTTCTCTGTGAATTGTATGAGATTGCTGTCATTTGTCATTTTACCCCCTTATCCTGATTGTTGCTATTTCCCCCAATTGAACTTCATTTATGATTCTAGTTAAGATTCCAGATCAACCAAGTGTTCTTACGTTCCCAGTCTTGTCCTAATCTTTAGGTCTCTTCTCAGTCTTCAGCCATTATTTTAAAAATAATTACCACTAAGGCAACCATCCGATCTTTCCATGTCTAAGTCTGAGAATGGCACCAACCCCAGCCTACCAGTTCCATCTGCCACAATACAAGGTCACCGAAGGGAAAGATTCAGTAGACATTTTAAGTTTCTTGGACGGTTAAGACTATGGCCTCAGGAATGAGCAGGTGCAAGTAATAAATAGAGGGGAAAAGAAAGGGAGAAGAGGGATTGTAAAGATGGGGGAATTGAGTGGAGAGGGACGGGTGGAAGAAGGAGGAGGAGGGGAAACAAGGGAGTGAGGAGGTGCAGGGAAGAGGCAGGGAGGAAAAAAAAGGTGTCAGAGGGGTATGCTGCAGTAGGAATGGGATGGGAGAGACATGAAAGGAGAATTTGGGAGGGGGGAGAGAATAGAAGAAGGATGTAGGTGGAGAGCACTGGCTTAGGAGCTATGATTCCTGGAGGTTCACACAAGATACCTTTCTCAGTAAGGAATTCCAATTTTGAAGTTCCTAGGTTTGTTTGGGTCCAAGTCTGTTGGGTTACAGCAGCAGTCTCTGAGCCCTGCTTTAGAGGAACAGGAGGGAGGCAAGGGATAAGGACAGGATCTAAGGCCATAGCCTTCCCCAGCTGTTTTCTGGGAGTAGGCCCAAGCCCCTTCACACCCCATCCCACCTCCATTCTCACTCTACCTACCCACCACTGAATCCTCCCACTGGACCCTCTTTCTAGTCCAGCCCTCTGGCTCTTTGGGGTTTTCTAATTCCCATTCCAATTCCATTTAGCAGACTACATGTCCACTTACCCTCGAGGGCATAACCTTGCTGTGACTTCTGACTTGACTTAGCAAGCGTGGGCTCAGGCCCCGCCTGCCTTCTTGGATCCCAAACGCAGCTGTGAGTCCTACTAGCACCAGCTTATCTACAACTCAGTCCAGCGGTTTGTGGTTGCTATGCAACAAGAAAGGAGGGCGGGCCCCCCCGCCCCCCTCCGTCGTAGGCTCGCGCCCTGGCAACGGATTAACGTCAGGCCGAAGTCCCCGCCCCTTGGTCCCAATGACAGAAGTCGGAAATTCTCTTTGGCCTGGGCCTACTATCGCGAGATCTGTCGTACGCCCGGCCTGCACTGCGGCATTTCCCGCGCTGGCTACATCAGTTCCCTGGCGTACGGCGCGGCCTCTTCTACGCCGGCGCCGCACCCGTCATGGGTTTCCTGAAACTGATTGAGATCGAGAACTTTAAGTCGTACAAGGGTCGACAGATTATCGGACCATTTCAGAGGTTCACCGCCATCATTGGACCCAATGGCTCTGGTGAGTTAAATCCAGCTGCGGCCTTGCTCACGTCCCTGTCTGGACCCTCTGTCCGGCGTCAGAGTAGTACAGTCCAGCCTATGCAATCTGAAACGTTGTTAATCCTAAAAGGTTCCTTGCCCTTCCTGAGGTGGAGTTCGATTCGGACCCGCTCTCTTCGAACATGTTCCTCAGGTTGCCTGAGTTTTGGGTGGTCCCCGCTCCGGATCGAATGGTACGGGCCAAATTGTACATTGCCCCGCCCACTGCCCCCTCCCGCCAAAAGAGGCGCGTCCCGAGCCAGCTGCCAAACTGCTTGCGGAGCGGCTCCCCGCCTGTTTGGCTGGTTTAGGCTTTCCACCCTTGTTTGACCCCTCTGGAAAATGTGAGACGGCTGGTAACTGCCATGGCCTCCGGTCCCAAACGGTACACTTCTGCTTCATCCCAGCGTCCCCTCCCGCCTCCCATTGGTACGCTCCAATTCCTTCCTTTTTACTTTTCTCCGGAGGCGGCACATTTGAATTTCGGACCCAGCGCTCCAGTCTTTAACAGTGCATGGGGTTCCGGCCCCCAACCTCAGAGATTGTTGCCTCGAACTTGCCCCTTTCCTACAACGGAAACCGTGAACTTGTTCGCTTGCCAAACTTGTTGTATGCTTTGATGTTTATCAAGAGTTGTTCGTGTTGTGGAACTAGCGGAGAATAGAATAAATCAAGTCCATACTCTCAGGAGAAGACTAAGAAGTAGAAAATAAGATAATCTAAGGCTGTCATAAATGCTGTGCAGGAAATGGTGTCCGGCTGATGTGGTAGAGTGATTTGGGTGGTGTCCTTAAGTGATTTGGGTGGGGAAAGAGCTCTATTTCATGTCTAAATTCGTCATTTCTAGATGGTACCCCATGGATTCCTCTCACCTACCCCCAGAAGTGGCCTGTTGTGAATCTCTCAGTGTTGAGCTGTCAAAGCTGTTTTTTTTTTTTTTTTTGGCGGTACTTGGGGTTTGAACTCAGGGCCTTGCGTGTGTTAGGCACGCGGTTTCTCACTTGAACCACACATCCAGCCTTTTTGCTTTATGTATATTTTGAATAGGATCTAATGTTTATGCCCAAGCCCTACTGTCATCATCTTCTCTATGCTTCCGGCATAGCTAGAATGATAGGCGTGTGCCACTGCACCCAGCTTTTTAAAAAAATTGGTTCAGATGGAGATCTCTCAAACTTTTTTTGCCTGTTCTGGTCTCAAACCGAATCCTCCTGATACCGAGTATCTAGGACTTACAGACGTAAGCCACTGCCCCCAACTAGCTGAATAATTTTCTAGCCCGGGAGGCTGCCCTTGCTGTGATGTAGCTCATACTAAATTACCTCTTTGGAGTCTTGCCTTGGGTTTAACTCTCTGCATAGAGCAGGGTTTCTCAACATTGGCACTTCAGTTAGATATTTTGCTGTGTGGTTGGTCCTGTGCACTGATGTTTGGCAGCATCCCTGGACCCCACTCTCCAGGTATGACCATTAAAAATGTCTCCAGACATTGCCAAATGTCCTGGTGCAGGGCACAAAATCAAGCTCTTCTCAGTGGTTCTCATTTGAAAACCACTGATCTAGAGGGTTAATGTTTGGGGTTCTACCCAATTTTTTAGGATATTGGTGTTGTGGTCCCTGAAAAAGCCAGGATGCATCTCTTGGCATTCAGTTGTCTCTGTATATTTAGCTGCTCTGAAAAGGCCCTTCTCTCTCCCCCAACCCCCCTATTCTTCAAGGCCCACCTCTACTAGGCATTCCTTGATTTCCTCTTAGTTAATTGCTCTTCCTTTCTAGCACAGACACTTGATACACGTTGTTTATTTTCTCCATCTTGTGTTCATGGTTTATGTTTCTGTATCTTCATCACTGGTCTGTGAGTGCCTTAAAGAAGACATTCCTTGAAATGATTTATCAGTGTGCAGTTCATACTATTTATTATAAAAATGTTTACAGTACTGACTCTGAATAAAGAGGCTTTTGTTTGTGAGATGTTCTTTTTGTCCAGGGAGAAGACTAAAGGTTGGAAATTGGTGCCGAAAAGTCTGACTCCTGTTTTGTATGCTGCAGAATTTAGACTTGTGTTGGAGGTGTTTCATTTATTGAGTAGCTATTGTGTGTCAAGTTCTTTATTGAAGCTCTTTGCATTTATTTATTTTTTTGGTGGTACTGGGGTTTGAACTCAGGGTCTCATGCTTGCTAGGCAGGCGCTGTACCACTTGAGCACTTGAGCACCAGTCCTTTGCATTTATTTTATTTAAAAAAATTTGGGGGGGACCTGGAGGCATGGCTCAAGTGGTAGAGTATCTGCCTAGCAAGTGCCCTGAGTTCAAACCCCAGAATCGCCAAAGGGGAAAAAAATGGTGCTGGAGATTGAACCCAGAGCTTCATATACTGTCACTAAGCTAGATCCCCAACTTGCCCAAGATCTTAATCACTGTATTATACTATTGCCATGGAAGGACCATTTTTATGGTTGGGTAGAGCGGATTGGAAATCAGGTTCTCAGGTTAGTCATGTTTGGGAGAATCTTGAGATAGAAATCAAACTACACCTCTTTACCCTCTGACCCCAGTCTAAACTTTTTCTAAAGGTCTTTTTTTTTTTTAATTCTAAAATGAAGAAAGTAAAAACTTAACTCCACTACCAAATAGATGACCACTCCTTATGTTAAAAACCTTATGGATGAGCCTGGTGCCAGTGGCTCACTCCTGTAATCCTAGCTACTTGGGAGGCTGAGATTGGGAGGATCATGATTTGAGGCCAACCCAGGCAAATAGTTTGAGAGACCCCCCCCCAACCAAAATAACCAGAGCAAAATGAACTGGAGGTATGGCTTAAGCAGTAGGGCATCTGCTTTGTGAGTGCCTGCTTTGCAAATGTGAAGCCCTGAGTTCAAACCCCAGCCCCACCCAAAAAAACAAAAACCTTATTTATTTGTACAGCTGATACACAATATAAAATTCAAAAAAATTCCAAAGGACATACACTGTAAAAAGATTGTCCCTTGGCCTTAGCTATCTAGTTTCCCTATCAGAAGCAATCACTGTTACACCGTTTGCATTTTCTTTTCTTTCTTTTTTTTTTCAGTACTGGATTGAATTTAGGGCCTCATTCTTGCTAGGCAGGCACTCTACCACTTGAACCATGCCCCTAGCCCTCATTTTCATGTGTTTTTCTGTTCCTTTTCCTCTAAGTTTTTATTATGAACATTTACAGACATGTATGTGTTTTGCTTAATCATTTGAAAATAAATTACAGACTTAATGACATTTCACCCCTAAGTGCTTTGGCATTCGTGTCCTAAAATCACCATTCTCCTGTATTACCACTATTCCATTATCACAAGTAAGAACACTGATTTCCTTATGTTATCAATTATCTAGTTTTTTTAATTCAAGCTTCCTGAATTGCTCCCCGAAATGTCTTTTGGTAGCTTGTGGAACCAGTTCATCCTCTGAAACTGGATATGGTGGTACACTCTTGTAAATCCCAGCACTTGGGAAACTGAGGAAGGAGGATCATGAGTTTGAGACTAGCCTGGGCTACATATTTGAGATCCTGTCTCAAAAAAAAAAAAAGAAAGAAAAAGAAAAAGAAAAAAAATTCACCTTAAAAAAAACCAAAATGTTCATGCCCTGTATTTGCTTATTGTGTCAGTAATCTGTGATCTAGAATGGTTCTTCCAACCTTTCCTTTTAGACATTGACTTATTTTTTTATTTTCATGTTTTGCAGTGTTGGGGATCAAACCTGGGGCCTTGCATATGGTAGGCAAGCACTATGCCTCTGAACTATATCCTCCTAGTACAGTCATTGAATTTCTGAAAAGACCAGGCCACTTGTCTTAGAACATCCAACAATTTGTGTTTGTCCAAAGGTTTTCTCATGGTATTATTTACAAAGTTCCTCTGTCTGCTGTATTTCCTAGAAGATTCCAGTTAAATGTTTTGGCAAGATACTTCATAGCTTATGCTTTGTATTTCATATTGTATTATAACTACAATATACCCTTTTAAAACTTGTGTAAGACACTTATAAAATTTATGATATTAACCACTTTTAAGTATACAGTTCAGTAGTGTTAAATGTATTCACATTATTGTGCAACACATCTCCAGAACTTCTTCATCTTTCAACTGAAATTCTATACCCATTTAAAACACACACACACAATCATTTCCCCTTTCTTTTCAGCCTTTTTGTTTGTGCATTGTAGTTTAAAATCAGACTTTTATATCTT